GATTTCTTAAAGTTAAAATTATTTTCATGTTGAGCAGCCAAAAGCTGACCCTAAGTGACTGTCCTGCTTCCAGAAACATTTTCCCTTTCAGTAATTTCCTCAACCCACAACAATATGAATATGGAACACTTACCTTCCTTAATACTTCCTGACCGTTGAGTAGGGAAGGCCTGGGGAGGAGGAATCTGTGCTATGAGTGGCTGCTGAGGGAGCTGCTGAATGATGGTGGCAGGAGGCTGGGTGACCTAGGAACAGCCAGGTGATTAGCTATCTGCACGTGTCCTTGAAGAAAGTGTCTCCAGTATCTACCACCCAACCATCCACCCATCCATCCAACCAGCCAACCAACCATTCATCCACCCACCCATCCATCCAAACAACGATCCACCCACCCATCCAACCAACCAACCATCCATCCATCCAACCAACCAACCATCCACCCACCCATCCACCCACCCACCTATCCAACCAACCAACTATCCACCCACCCATTCAACCAACCAACCATCCACCCACCCACCCAACCAACCAACCAACCATCCACCCACCCATCCACCCACCCATCCATCCATCCACCCACCCACCCATCCACCCACCCATCCATCCACCCACCCATCCATCCACCCACCCATCCATCCAACCAGCCAACCAACCATTCATCCACCCACCCATCCATCCAACCAATGATCCACCCACCCATTCAACCAACCATCCATCCACCCACCCATCCATCTACCCACCCATCCATCCACCCACCCATCCATCCAAGCAGCCAACCGTCTACCTATACATCCATTCATCTGTCCAAGGAGAGCTTTAAATGATTAACCCCAGACATTGAATAGATGGTAGAATGGAAAGGTACTTCAGTCTCGATATCACTTAGGATGTAGTATTTTTAATGTTTCCCATGTTTCCTGTTTTTAGCAGGGGGCGCTGAAGCCTGGTTCCACTAATTCTGCTTTAATAGGAGCATCCAACACTTGGTATGGTTTCTTTTCTTTTCTTTCTTTCTTTTTTTTTTTTTTTTTGAGACAAAGTCTTGCTCTTGTTGCCCAGGCTGGAGTGCAATGGCGCAATCTCAGCTCACTGCAATCTCCGTCTCCCAGGTTCAAGCAATTCTCCTGCCTCAGCCTCCCGAGTAGCTGGGATTACAGGCGTGAGCCACCGTGCCCGGCCTGGTCAGTCTTTTTCATTGTAGCCACTTTAATAGGGATACAGTGGTGGCTCACTGTGACTTTAATTTGTATTTCCCTAATGATGGATGGTGTTGAGCATCTGGGGCAGACCGGTGTGTAGGATGACTGCATCCCAACAGGCGTTCTCAATTCTGTCCCAGTGACCTCTCTATCCCAGCCCCCATGACAACTTGGTTAATTACTGTACTCCATCATATACTGTAGTACATACATAGAACACGTCATGAGAGTAAACTTTGGTATCTCCTCTGAGTAAAAATAAATTACAGCCGAATATTCGAGTATGAAAGGCCTTCTGTTTTATCCTCTTCTAGCTGTGCGAGGCTGCCTGGCCTCGTCCCTTCTTCCTCAGTTCACAGAAAGGATGGCAGAGACCAGGAGTTGGCAAACTTTTGCCAAGGGCTAGATCGTAAACGGATTCCAAAGCAGGACACACTGTCAGCCACAGCTCTTGAGTTGGCCATTGCAGCATGAAAGCAGCTATGGACAATGTGGAAACAAATGGGTCTGGCCCAGTAAAACTTTATTTATGAACACCAAAATTGGCATTTTGTATAATTCTCATATGTTGCAAAATATTATTATTTTATTGGCTTTTCCCCAAGCATTTAAAAATGTAAAACCATTCTCAGCTTGCAGGTTGCATGAGAACAGGAGGCAGGCCAGCTCTGGTCTGAAGCTGTGGTTTGCCAACCCCTGCCACAGACCCATGAGGCTTTCTCAGAGCCACTGTGCCTGTCCTGGCTGATGGGACTTCTGCTTCAGGGGCTCTGTGTCCAGCTGCCAGGAAGCTCATCTTGGTGACCCACAGCCCCTGCTTACCTGCCTGGTGTCACTGCAGCTGAGAGCAAAACCTGCAGGCATAACTGGCCCTGATGGATACACAGTAAGTATAGATGTGTTTGGGATGAGGAAGATGGGGGGTCCACAGCAACGACCCCCGTACTCCCTTCTGTGCTAGGAGGAGGTTCCTGGTGCTGGAAGACGGGAAGGCACAGGCTGGGAATATCCAGAACCTGGTGAAGGCAACCCATCTGCAGAGGAGGGTCTGGGGCAGGTCCTTTGGAGGCTCCCTTCCCTCTGTTCCCTCTGCCATGTGCTGCTGCCGGGGTCCCCTCCCAAAGGGCAAAAGCCTTCCAGGCCATAGACTCTGCTGCCCTGTCTAGAAAGTCCCACCTCAGCCTCTTCTTCTCTCCTACCCTCCCTGCACCCCGTCACACGAAACCCACCAAAGCCTTGACCTCCAGGCCCCCAGCTTCCATCCCGCCTCTGGGTGCCTGGTTTCCCTCTGACCCAGTTTTTGCTTCAGAAAGTCAGAGTTGTTTTCTGCTGCTTGTCACCCAGAAGGCTGAACAGCTGTAGGAAGCTCTCAGAGGTGGAACACTATTTACCTTTAACATTCTGCCCTTGACATTGGGGCCTTAGGCATCTCCTGGGCATGATAAAGGTTTTTTTGTTTTTTTGTTTTTTGAGATGGAGTCTTGTAATCTCTTTCTGGGCTCAAGTGATTCTCCTGCCTCAGCCTCCTGAGTAACTGGGACTACAGGCATAACGCCACCACGCCTGGCTAATTTTGGTATTTTTAGTAGAGACAGGATTTCGCCAAGTTGCCCAGGCTGGTCTCAAACTCCTGACCTCGGGTGATCCACCTGCCTCGGCCTCCCAAAGTGCTGGGGTCCATCACACCCAGCCAGGGATAAAGTTTTGAGGAGTTGACCTACTTCCCCAAATTCAGGGCCCTCTGCCTGCTGAGCTCTCCTGATATACTTCTACCCCTAATGCAACATTTAAGGCCAGGGCTGGGGTTTGGGAGACAGAGCTGGGCCCCAGCCTCCCTCTGTGATCAGGGGTAAGCAGTCCGGGGAGGCCCGAACAGTGTCCAGGCAGGGGAAATGCAGGAGCGGCTGGCCCCCTTCAAGGGTGGGCCTTGGGAGGATGGGGGTGACGAGGCAACCTCGCTGCAGGCACAGTACCTCCCACTTTCTGTAAAATATTATTATTATTTTTTTTTGAGACGGAGTGTCACTCTGTCGCCCAGGCTGGAGTGCAGTAGCACGATCTTGGTTCACTGCAACCTCCATTTCCCAGGTTCATGCCATTCTCCTGCCTCAGCCTCCCAAGTAGCTGGGACTACAGGCGCCCGCCACCACGCCTGGCTAATTTTTTGTATTTTTAGTAGAGACGGGGTTTCACTGTGTTAGCCAGGATGGTTTTTTTTTTTTTTTTTTTTGAGACGGAGTCTTGCTCTGTCGCCCAGGCTGGAGTGCAGTGGCTGGATCTCAGCTCACTGCAAGCTCCGCCTCCCGGGTTCACGCCATTCTCCTGCCTCAGCCTCCCGAGTAGCTGGGACTACAGGCGCCCGCCACCTCGCCCGGCTAGTTTTTTGTATTTTTTAGTAGAGACGGGGTTTCACCGTGTTAACCAGGATGGTCTCGATCTTCTGACCTCGTGATCCGCCCGTTTCGGCCTCCCAAAGTGCTGGGATTACAGGCTTGAGCCACCGTGCCCAGCCGCCAGGATGGTCTTGATCTCCTGACCTCATGATCTGCCTGCCTCGGCCTCCCAAAGTGTTGGGATTATAGACGTGAGCCACCGTGCCTGGCCATAAAATCTTAATTCTGTACCTGCCTCCTCCTTTCAGATGTGCTCCTGCCTTCGCCCTCTTACCGTAGGCAGGATGATCCTTGGCGGGTCTGGGGCCAGCGGGGATGGGGAAGCAGCGGGTAGGATGCCCGTGGGGGTCAGCTCAGGGGGCAGGGCTGATCCGAGGGCTCCTCTGCTTGCTCCGTTCCAGGCTTGGGCCCGAGAGAGCTCGTCCAGGAGGTGTTGTTCCTGCAAGGACAATGCAGAGCTGCTGCACACTGGGGAGGGGGAGCCCCAACGCTGCAGAGGCACCCGCAGCCTCAGGCTCAGGCCAGCCTGGGCCGGGTACAGGCCCCTCTCCAGGCAGGATGGCCATGGCTGGAAGACCCTTCGAGGGGTGTGCGCATGAGGGTGGCCTCCTTCTGAAATTTACCCAAGTGTGTCAGCTAGTTTCCAGTTGTTTTCTTTTCCCAGCCAACAGGATCTGTTCTTTCAAGCCAGTTCCAGGCCTACTTCGCTGCAAAGATCTCCCCCTAGAAAAGCGGCCCCACCTCCCCGGCGTCTCTGCCACTCAGATGCATCTTTGGTGAGTGCCGTGGGAGCAAACCTCCGGGCATCCCAGAATTCCAGGTCCTCCTGGAATTGGGCCCCTACTCAACATTTCCTGCCCTGATGGAAACCTGCACACAGGCAGGTCTCTAAGCTAACAGTGCCCTCACTGGGGCCTGGCCCTGAGAGTCCAGAAAGGTCTTCCCCAATACCCTCCCACCCGGTGCTGTGAGGCTGAGCAGCCGTCTCTACTACAGTGAGCTCAGCCAGGTTCGCTCAGAGGGTTCAGGGCCTACCCGGAGTCTCTGCAGAAGGTCTCTCCTTCTCTTCAGAGCAGTCTGCAGGGCGTCGTCCGGCCGGTCCTCATTTCCTGGAGGGAAGCACCTGCTTGCTCACCAAGGAACGCGTAGAGGCTGTCGCTGCAAGCACTCGGACCGGATGGCACTGCACCCATGTCGGAAGGCCCTGCCTCACCCACACTCCCAGGATGGATGTGGCCTGGGAAGCTCCTGGGCTTAGGTTATCTCAGAGAAAGAGGGACCAGTGCTGGGTAAGGAGGGCAAGGGGCAGCATCAGAGGAGGGGTAATCCAGGGAACTCAGTGTTGGAGTCTGGCCAACGGTCATCTCATTCCTGGAAGGGAGCCTGAAGTCACACGACCAGATTCCTCCTGAGTGCATTTCGTACACAGTCCCTTGGGCTCCGGGAGGCCAAGGCCTCTATGGGACTGGTTGCAGCCTGATCTTGGCCACCTGGAGCCACCCTCTGGCCCCAAGTGGTCTAGAGTCTGGTCTGACCCCCAAGTATCTGCACATCCCTCAAGCCTGCCCCCCAGTCCGGGCGTGGTGGCTCATGCCTGTAATCTCAACAGCGGGAGGTTGCGCTGGGAGGATTGCTTGATCCTAGGAGGTCAAAGGTGCAGTGAATTGTGATCAGGCCACTGCACTCCAGCCTGGGCGACAGAGTGAGACCAACTCTGTCTCAGGAAAAAAAAAAAAAAAAATCTGGCCGGGCACAGTGAGTCACACTTGTAATCTCAGCACTTTAGGAGGCTGAGGTGGGTAGATTACTTCAGGCCGGGAGTTCGAGGCCAGCCTGGCCAACATGGCAAAACCCCGTCTCTACTAAAAATACAAAAGTTGGCCAGGCATGGTGGAGTGCACCCGTAATCCCAGCTACTCGGGAGGCTGAGGCATGAGAATTGTTTGAACCTCAGAGGTGGAGGTTGCAGTGACCTGAGATTGCACCACTGCACTCCAGCCTGGGTGATAGAACGAGACTCCTTCTCAAAAAAAAAAAAAAAAGAAAAAAACGAAGTCTACACTCTTTGGGGAAGGGTCTGCACTCAAGAGAAGGCTCCGGAAGGTGGGGGCAGGGTTCTGACCTCCTTTCCCTTAGGCACAGGGGTCCTGCCCCTCACCCAGCATCACACTGGAGTGGGGCCGTTGGGAACCCCAGCCAGTCCTTGGGGGTCCCCAAACTCTCTGCCCCAGGCACTGGTAGCCATTCTGTTCCCTTGCACTGGCTCTGCAGTCAGGGGACCTGGTTTGGGATTTTCTCTCTGTATTTGAGACTGGGCTCTGCCTTTGGCAGCTGAGCCCCCACAGCTCACAGGTTGCCCCACATTCCAAAGAACAGGAAATGCTCCTCCAGCCTCCTTAGCTCCTCCCTGGACGTCTCCAGGTAACAGTGAGGACAGCAGCTCCTCCCCAACCAATGGGCAAGCTCAGGCTCTGGAACCAGAGCAACTGGGTCTGATCTGGGTGTGACCACTGCCAGGGTGAGCAACCTCTTTCTGCCTCCATTTTCTCATCTGCAAAATGGGAACAATGAAAGTGCACCCTTTTGGGGTTTGCAGACTAAAGGTGATAAGGAATGGGGGTGTCTTCAACTCTGAATGTAAAGGAAACGTGTTGAGGACAGTCTTGGTGGTACCAGGAGTGCGGGTGATTCCCAGAGTTGCTGTCCCCACCTCCCCCTGGCGCGGCTACACTTGTGTCTGTCTGTGCTGGTTCCGAGCAGCCCAGGGGCTCTCACCTGGCTCGAGGTGGAGGCCCTCAGGTCCCCCTTCCATGTTCTGCCGTTCTTGCTCCAGCTTCTATGAGGAAAAGAGACCGTGATGGAGACACTGGCTCCAGGCAAAGGCCCTGTGTGCTCCAGGAATGACTAAGAGGCTTTCCGAGTGAAAAGAACGGTATGTCAGGAATAACCCAGCCCCTCCAGGGCCAACAGGTGGGAGACGAACCCCTCCAAGGATCTTCATGAGCTGCCTCTGTCAGCCTGACCTCTAGCGAATTCATGTGTTCCACCTGCAAGCCTAGGGGCGGATGCTCTGAGTGGCCCCTTCAGGCAGATTTCTGAAGTGCAACCCTGGGAGAGACGGCACTGGTGAGGCCTCCAGGCTTCCCAGTCAGTGCATGCCTGGATCATCCCCCACCTGAACCCTGAGCTGAGCCTACTGGGTGTGTCCAAGCGTGAGTCCCTCTCATGGCGGCCTGTGGGCCAGGATGCAGGGCTGGCAAAAGGCGGGCAGCAGGTCCCTCGGACAGCAGGAGAGGGAACAGTGCAGGCAGGGGGTGCAGAGGAGCCCCCAGGCACTGAGGCCCCCCGGACCAGACCCTCAGAGAATGTTAAGACTGAGTCTCAGGATGGGTCTGCTGGGCTGCCAGCCCCAGGCCCGGCCCTTGGGGCCCTGCATTCTGCACCTGCAGGGCTGTCTCAAAGAGTCCCTCCAATGCCACAGCCTGGGAGTTGTTAAAAAAGGAGCATCCCGGGCTCTGCCTCACCTGTCCCAAGAGCTTCAGCGTCAGTCGGGTCACGTGCTCTGCTGCTGCTGAGTCCAGCATGGTGGGAGCTGCAGGAGACGACTGTAGGGGCAGGGGAGGCTGCAGCCCACCTCCCTCCCTGGTTCTGTTACTCGAAGGAAAGAACTGCTTAGCAGGAGCCCAAGCACCAGTGTCACCTGCGGGGCTGTCCTTACCTCCTGGAGACCAGCCTGAGGTAAGAGAAGAGCCCTGTGGGAAGACAGCCACACCCTCCCTGGACTGCAGTGCCCCACAAGCCAGCGCTGGGCGCCGCATGACAGTTGCCAGGCTGCCGGACACAGGGAGGCCCCAGGTTGCCAGGTTTCCACTGTGCGTCCTCAGGCTATCTGTAAACATTCATCCCCAGGTGTAGCCAGCTGGGCTTCATGCGAAGACAAAAAAAGTGGGCAGTAGCTGAGGCAGAGGGGCAGATCCCTCAGACCTGGGGGAAGGGGACAGTCGTGACCCCCTGTGCACCACCAGCCTCAGGACCCAGTCCAGAAGAACCTGTGTATTAGGGGAGGGTGCCCCACCCCTGTGTACTGCCTCCAGGGTGTTAACGGCACCTCCCCTCCTAGAGACCCTCAGAGCAAGCAGGGAAGACAGGGTGGGGAGACTGCCTACCAAGGAGTTCAGGAAATTCCAGGCAGCAGAAGGGGCAGGACAGATGAGGGGTTGTGACCTGCAGAGGGGCAGGGCTTCAGCAGGACCAGTGGGGGTGCTCAGGGGATGCGTCCCACCTTGGAGCTGGGGGCAACCGGGCAGGGAGCCAAGAATGCAGAGGGCGACACAAAACAGAAGCGTGGTCTGCACTTGGTGGGGCATTAAACTCCACATTGATGAGTTAGTCAATCCCACTAGCAGGCAGACTGACATCTGGAGGATGTCAGCAGCAGGGGCCCAGACCTGCGGACCTGAGGGGCGGAGGTTAGCACTTTGCTCAATGTAGCTAACCCAAGAACTTGCCTCAGTGGCCAAAATTGCTCTCTTGCCCTCAATTCTGTAAATGGCCCATGTCCATCAGTATCTATGGTTGTGTGCCTGTCCTGTCTTTCAATCCATATCCATGTGGGGAGCCTGGAGCTGGACCAGTGAGTGATAGGGTGAAGGCTGGCCAGCCCGTAGGAGGTCAGGCTCACAGAGGCAGCTCATGGAGATCCTCGGAGGGGTGCACCTCACACCTGCTGGCCCTGGAGGGGCTGGGTTACTCCTGATGTAGAGTTCAACTCACCTTACCCTGGAGGTCATCCAACCAGAAATGAAGTCAGCATGAAACCTGGCCTTATCCTCCCTCCAGATCTGTGGAGGTTGTGGGCTGGGGTCACATGACCTGCCTGGTGCCACACATTCCCAGATGGCAATCAGAGGTCCTCACTGGTGCTGCTGGACATGAGCAGACTCTGGCCCCATATTTAAGATCCCAGTGCCATGGGGCGTTGGCTCATGCCTGCAATCTCAGTACTTTGGGAGGCCAAGGCAGAAGGATCACTTGAGCCCACAAGTTGGAGATCAGCCTGCACAATGTAGCAAGACTCCATCTCTGTAAAAAATAATAAAAAAGGGCCCGGCGTGGTGGCTCACGCCTGTAATCCCAGCACTTAGGGAAGCTGAGGCAGGTGGATCACAAGGTCAGGAGTTTGAGACAACCTGGCCAACACGGTGAAACCCCATCTCTACTAAAAATACAAAAAATCAGCCAGGTGTCGTGGTAGGAGCCTGTAATCCCAGCTACTTGGGAGGCTGAGGCAGGAGAATTGCTTGAAATAGGAAGGCGGAGGTTGCAGTGAGCCAAGATCGCGCCACTGCACTCCAGCCTGGGCAACAAGAGCAAAAACTCCGTCTAGAAAAAAAATAAAAAATAAAAAAATAAATAAATAAAAGAACCCAGCTCTTATCCACAGTCATTAACAGTGACAGTCTTGGGAGACATTTAAACAGTTTTGAGTGTGCACAGAACAAAAACCAGGTTAATTTAGTTAAGCAACTGTATAGAGCACCCTTGATATAAGTGACCTCATCTGAGAAAAGGACTCCATCTTACAATTTTCTTTTTTTTTTTTTTTTTTGAGACGGAGTCTAGCTCTGTCGCCCAGGCTGGAGTGCAGTGGCCGGATCTCAGCTCACTGCAAGCTCCGCCTCCCGGGTTCCGCCATTCTCCTGCCTCAGCCTCCCGCGCATCTGGGACTACAGGCGCCCGCCACCTCGCCCGGCTAGTTTTTTATGTATTTTTTAGTGGATACGGGGTTTCACTGTGTTAGCCAGGATGGTCTCGATCTCCTGACCTCGTGATCCGCCCGTCTCGGCCTCCCAAAGTGCTGGGATTACAGGCTTGAGCCACCGCGCCCGGCCACAATTTTCTTTTTGAGATGGAGTTTCACTCGTTGCCAGGCTGGAGTGCAGTGGTGGTGCCATCTCAGCTCACTGCAACCTCTGCCTCCCGGGTTCAAGTGATTCTCCTGCCTCAGTCTCCCGAGTAGCTGGGACTACAGGCGCACACCACCACCCCGGTTAATCTTTGTATTTTTGGTAGAGACGGGGTTTCAACATGTTGGCCAGGTTGGTCTTCAACTCCTGACCTCAAGTGATCCGCCGTCTCGGCCTCCCAAAGTGCTAGGATTACAGGTGTGAGCCATAGCACCTGGCCCCTGATACCTTTTAAAAGATAGGGCCAGGCACAGTGGGTGGCTTACGCCTGTAATCCCAGCACTTTGGGAGCTGAGGTGGGTGGATCACTTGAGGTCAGGATTTGGAGACCAGCCTGGCCAACATGGTGAAACCTCGTCTCTACCAAAAATACAAAAATTAGCCGGTTGTGGTGGCACACCTCTGTAGTCCCAGCTACTTGGGAGGCTGAGGCAGCAGAATTGCTTGAACCCGGGAGGCAGGGGTTGCAGTGAGCCAACAGGGCACTACCACTGCACTCCAGTCTGGGCAACAAGAGTGAAACTCCACCTCAAAAAAAAGAAAAAAAAAAAAGGGTATCAGGCCAACAGGGACCAGATGTGTCCTCATCAGTAGATACTGCACCCACCCAGGTAAGGATATAACAAGAACACTCTATCAGTCCTCACCAGAGTACTCTATGGCCATGAAAAGAGCAGAGCGCCACCAGGTCAAAGCAGCCATTTTACAGATAGTCTTGCTGTCACTTGTGAGAAGCCCTCCACATCTGCTGCTGAAGGCTCTGCCCACATCAGAGATGCTTCCTTGCCAGACAGATTCTCCTTTTTGTTGAACTGGTTAACTTTTTTTCCTCTCCTCTTTCTCTTGATGTGAAATGTTACTTTGATGTGGAATGTTTATAACATTTATATATTGATCAAGTATACTATTATATATGGTTTGCAATACTGACTGACTTAAGGAGAGACTTGAGCCTGTGTGCCCACAGCTGTGACTGCCAAGTGAATGGGAAGCACTAAGAATTGCCTCCTCGGGATCTCTAGTAGTAAACATAACACGCTCCAGAGGGCATGGATTTGTCAGTTTATTTATTTTTTAATAGGCTTTTTAAGAACAGTTCTACATTTATAGTAATTGAGAAGATAGTACATGGAGATCCCACATACCATGTGTGGCTTCCCCTCTTACTAATATCTTACCTTAGTGTGCTACATTTGTTGTATTTTTTTGAGACAGTCTCGCTGCCACTCCCAGGCTAGAGTGCAATGGTGCGATCTTGGCTCACTGCAACCTTCACTTCCGTTTCAAACGATTCTTCTGCCTCAGCCTCCCGAGTAGCTGGGACTACAGGCACGTGCCACCATGCTCAGCTAATTTTTGGGCCAGAGCCAGTGCACCTGGCCCATTTGTTAATGATTGAGACGAGACACAATTAACTAAAGTCCACACTTTGACAATTTCCTTAGGTTTGCCTCATGTCCCTAATGTGGTATCCATTAAAACACCCCATTACATTGAGTTATGTGTCTTTAGGCTCCTTCTCAGACTTTCCTCATTTTTGATGACCTTGTCAGTTTCGAAGACTACTGGGCAGATGTTTTGAAGAATGTCCTTCAATTAAAATGTGTCTGTTTTCTCCTGGTTAGACTGGGACTACGGGTTATAGAAAGAAAGCATCTAGGGGTGAAGTGCCACTGTCACCCCATCACATCAGGGAAACACACTGTGTCCCTGTAACTGTGAGGCTGACCTGGGTCACTTGGCTGAGGTGGAATCTGTCAGTTTTCTCCACAATAAAGTGGTTCTTTCCCTCCTTTTCTTTATTGCAGTCTTTGGGAGGAAGTAGCTATGTGTGGTCTACACTTAAGGAGCGGGGAGTTACGTTCCCCTCCTTGAGGCTGAGTATTTACAAAATTTATTTGGGCAGCTTTTTTGTTTTGAGTCAGGGTCTCAGTCTGCCACCAGGCTGGAATGCAGTAGTTGCCTGGCCTTGACAGCTTTTTAACAGTTTAAAATGAATTGAGGCTGGGCAAGGTTGCTCACGCCTGTAACTGCAGCACTTTGGGAGGCCGAGATGGGTGGATTACTTGAGCGCAGGAGTTCCAGACCAGCCTGGGCAACACGCAAGACCCTGTGTCTACTAAAAATACAAGAATTAGCCAGACATGGTGGCGTGTGCCTCTAATTCCAGCTACTCAGGAGGCTGACATGGAGAATCACCTGAGCCCAGGGAGGCTGAGGCTGCAATGAGCCGTGGTCTCACCACTGCACTCTAGCCTGTGTGACAGACTGAGACCCTGACTATAAAAAAAAAAAAAAGAAAAAAGAACTGAAATAAGACCCAAGTCCATTTGCAGAATCTCTCCAGAATGTGCACAGAAACGACTCTGGGGTTCTGAGGAACAGTCTAGGCAAACCTGGGCACATCCCCTCAGTCCCACAGTTGTAAATGTATTGTAACACATAACAATTGTGAGATTCAGGCACAGTCTGGGTCTCTGTTCCTGGAAAGTGTGATCCTCTGGGCACAGCCCCTGCTCGCTTGGCTGTGTTGCCTGCCTGGCCTCTGCTTTAATGAGCCCACTGCTCAGAGTTTGCTCAAACCACCCAATTCCGAGTCTGGGAACCAGGAGATGGCTGGACACCCGCTCACCACACAGAAGACTGTGGCCTGAGTCAAGAGAAGTTTCTGGCGGTTGAGCTTCCAGGGCTTCCTGAGCGAGGTTGCAGTGAGCCGAGATTGCGCCATTGCACTCTAGCCTGGACGTCGCAGCGAGACTGTCTCAGGAAAAAAAAAAAAAAAAAAAACACCCAAAAAGAAAGAAAAAAAAATTCTGAGCAAGATTCCAGGGCTTCCTGAGGGCGCGTTTAAGTTGTAGTTGCTGAGAATCCCAAGTTCTTGTGGAGGCTGCAAGGCGAGCTTGCGTCAGCGAGGAGCCACTCCAGCACGCTCGGGGAAGGTCATCATTACTGCTGCAACGAACCGTTTGCAAGTGAAGGCGCACTAACAGGTAGAAGGACTACAAAGAAACCCAGAAACCAGACCTGGACACATGAAATACAGGGTTTAGCTGAAGAAATACTCCACAGGAAAGGACGGCCTGCGCGAGGTCACCCACCCCGTCTTGGTTTTCTGCCACTTCGCTCCAGTTAGTTCCCCAAGCCCGCCCGCGCGCGCGCCCGCTGAGAAAACGCCCACCACGGCGGTCCCCCTGCAGGTCACAGGCGGTGCAGACCCCGGGACTGTGTCCAGGCTTCGGTGTCCAGGGAGCTCCAGGCACCCGAATCTTCCGTGGTTTCCACCTCTTCACGCTCAGGTTCCGCTCAGCTTAAGCTGAGGGGCGACGACCTCAGGCGACGTCAGTTTCCCCCTGGGAACACGAACCCACGGCCCCATTTCTCTTCTTTCTCCTAAAAACCTTTTCTTTTTTGAGACCTAAGACATCAGTGAGACACACGAGCAGACACGGGCTCAGTCGGGAAAGGCGGGAACTCCAAGCGGCGGGGCCTGCAGGTCCAGGCGGTTCGCGGGCTTTCTGACCGCATTCGGCCGAGTTCTTCTCTGAAGACCCGGGACCCCCGGCTGTGGGGGCGCATTCGGCGGGCTGGTGGCGTAGGATTCTGTCCCGGGCTGGGGTGAGGGAGCCCTTGCGGATCCCGAGATTCACCTCAGCAGCCTCCTCTGGGGTAGGCCTCAACTTCCCGCGGCGGCCCACGGTCAACGACTAATTCCTGAGAGGGGGAAAACGGCCTGGCCCTGTCCAGGTGGTTGCTAAGCGCGGTCCGACGCCGCCCGCACGTGCAGTGAGCCCGGCCAGCGGTCCTGTGGACACAAAGCAGAGGCTCCGCCAGCGCGCAACCAGCAGCGCAAACCTTTTGCCGCTCGGCCGGCCCAGCAGGGGCTTTTAAAATCGGCCAATCACAGCGGGCGCCAGGCCTCCGCTATCCGCTTACTGGTCCTGCCGTAGGAGGCGGGTACGTGAGCGCGCCAATCTGTGGCCGGCGAATGTATAGGGCGGGGCTCCGCCCAGGCTGCACCGCCCTGAGCGCGCGTGCGCGAGACCGGGAACGCGGCCCCCTGATTGGCGGCGCGTGCCGGGGGCGGGGCCGCGGCTGCGTGACAGTTGTCGCGGGGGAGGGCGAGCCCCAGCGCGGGGGAGGGAGTGTAAATAGAGCGAAGGCTGCTCTGTGTCAGCCCCGTCACCGACGGGCGGCCCGCGCGGCGTCTGACGGAGATGGAAGTTGAGCAAGAGCAGCGGCGCCGAAAGGTGGAGGCCGGGAGGACGAAGGTAAATATCAGAGGCTTCTTCTCTAGCTGCTGCGGCGTGAAGTCCTAAGGGCGGCTCCGGTGCCCGCCACCGCCCCCTGCCAGGAGCGGACGCTGTCCGGCGGAAGCCGCGGCCGAGGTCTCGCTTTCCCGCCGGCTCCGCTGGAAGCCGCCTCCTGGCCGCCGCCATCTTGAATCCGCCGCTCTCCGCCAGGGCCCGACCCCCACCGCGGCCACAGCCAATCAGCGGCCGAGACGCGCGGCGCCTCTCGGGCGGGCCGGGGCGGGGCTGCGCCTGCGTCGGGGGGGCGGGTTGCTCGCAGTGCACGCCGGGGCGGGGTGTGGCTGCCGGGCGGGGACACGAGGGCGTGGCGTGGCTGCGCGGAGCGGGGCGTGGCGGGCGCTGGACCCCAGGCTGGATCCTGGAGTGGCCCCCGCGTCCTCCCGGACAGGGTGGCTTGGGGTGGGCGGCCGGTATTCGGGGGGCTGTGTCGTCTAGCGCCAGTTTCCGGCGCGGCTGGGGCCGGGGGCGTGGCGCGGGTGGCCTGCAGCGCCTTCTCAGGGTGCGCCTTCGCCCCGTTCGTCGGAGACGCTTTCCCGGCGCGTTTCCCGCGGCCTTGCAGTCCCTACCGTGTGAAAGGCCCCCGCGGCGCTCCCGGCAGCCGTCTTCTTCCCGCGCCCCTGTGCGCGCTTCCTGCCCATCCTGGCCCGGCGTAGCGCTGCCGGGAACCCACGCGGCGCTGGCGCCGGCCCCTTCGAGGGACGCGTTCCCGTCTTTTCCCGCCCCGGGTTTCGCCGTGAAAAGGCGCTCGGTTTGATGGCCACGGACCGGGGTTTCATGTGGGGAATAAAGCGCGCAGAGCCCATGACTCGGGGACGCTGGAACGGGAGTCCCGAGAGCGCGAGGCGGAACCGCAGGAGCTGTCGGGACGAGGCCGGCCTCTCTGCGAGGTGCGCGCGGCTCCCCCGGGATGCTCTGGCCGGGGCGCTGGGGAAGAGCGGGGGCTCCAGGGCGTGGCCGGCAGGGGACGCCGGGCTGGGCTGGGGAAGGGCTGAGGCGGGCAGGCCTGCAGGGAGCTGCGAACGGGAGCGCAGAGCTCCGTGGAGGGTGGAGGGTGGAAGGTGGGGAGGGAGGGACAGGATGCCGCCTGTAGGGCGATGCAGGCTGGAGACCAGGTCTGTGCTATCCCCACGTGGATAGGTGTGGTGGAGGAGGGCACGAAAATAAACTACATGAGTTTGACTTTGAAGAAATTTCCTTGAGAGACCATTTTCTTGTGTAAATGGCCTTGTGTAATTTTTCTGGGTCCATGAGCTTGTGTACTTGTCGTTTACGCAAATGTGTGTTCCATGCGTTTTGTTTTTGTGGCCACAGTTGTTTGAAGGAACAGATGTCTCCCCGTGAAAGGCTGATGTGGGATGGCATACCTCTTGAGTAAGATGTTAGTGGGAGATGAGGCTCACACATAGTCTCAAACCCTCGGATTTGAGGACTGAGCAGAGCTAGGCTGTGCCTTCTGATGGGCGATGCTCCGTGAAGGTCCCTGGTGCTTTGGTGAGCTGTGTCATGAAAAATAGAACATCTGATTCCATAAAGGAAGATGTGAGATTGACCTGGCTTAATTAATTTTTCGCTATTTCTGTACCTTGTGTCAGAATCTATGGCTAGGAAGTTTTGGCTGGGCTATGTATTTCTTCAGTTGGGGGAAAATTGGGGCAAGAAGGGAGAGATTTAGCTTTTATATCATTTTAAAACTTAAGTATGCCTTGATTAGGCTATCAATCTTTTATATAGATGTATTTTTTTAAAGTTTTATTTTTCTGTAAACTGCCAAGGGCTAGGAAAGCTATTCTGCCAATCAGCTGTATGGTTTTCTTTACCAGGCATAATTAGCAGTCCTCATTGTTAGACCCCTTGGATATAGATATTGATGAAGGCAGTGTTTGTGGAGAGCAATCTGTTGGCCAAGTGTGGCAGAGTAGACTGGGTCAGCCCTCAGGCCTCATGATCCCCACCAGTCTGTTGACTTTGTGGTTGTGTTATTTTTTTCTCACTTATCTTTGCCTTTACTACTTATCTACGTTTTTGCGCAGCTTGCTCACTTCCGACAGAGAAAAACAAAAGGTGACGGTTCGCATTCGGAGAAAAAGACGGCGAAGAGGAAGGGCTCGGCTGTCGATGCGCCTGTCCAGGAGGAGAGTCCGATAGCCAAGGAGGACCGTGCACTCCGTGGAGGAGGGGACATTTGCAAAAGCACATCATGTGACGACACCCCTGATGGGGCAGGCGGGGCCTTTGCTGCTCAGGTAGATTTGCTCATTGTTGTGTTTGAACATTTCGCTTATCTTCTAGTGATTTCTAGTGTGATTTACTAAAGATGGTCTTTGGTCTGTTTTTGCCTTTCAAAAGTGAGGAAAGAGTGTGTTATTTTAGTTTATAAAAAGTGAGGGCCAGGTGCGGTGGCTCACACCTGTAATCCAGGCATTTTGGGAGGACAAGGCAGGCGGATCACCTGAGGTCAGGAGTTCCAGACAAACCTGGCCAACATGGAGAAACCCCATCTTTACTAAAAATACAAAAATTAGCCCGACATGGTGGTGCACACCTGTAGTCCCAGCCACTTGGGAAGCTGAGGGAGGAGAATAGCTTCAACTCGGGAGGCAGAGGTTGCATTGAGCCGAGATTGCGCCAGTGCACTCCAGCCTGGGTGACAGAGTGAGACTCTATCTCAAAAAAAAAAGTGAGTAAATTTTTATGGTTTTATTCTTAATAAATTTGGTTTTTCTCTTCTTTTCTTTTTCTTTTTTTTTCTTTTGTTTGTTCCAGACAGCGTCTTGCTCTGTTGCCCAGGCTAGAGTGCTGTGGTGTTATCACAGGTCACTCCTGCCTCAAACCCCTGGGCTCAAGCGATCCTCCCTCCTCAGCCTCTAAAAGTGCTGGGATTATAGGCACTTTATAATACCTGTTTTATCTTATGTAATTTTGAGAAATTTTGGATTAACTGCTTGAAGGCAAGTGTCAGTTGTTTGCTTTGTAATGGAAGACTGGGAGTTCTTCATGTGTGGTTGTGTCTATCAGCCCCTTTGATGGGTGTTTCTTGGAACACCTAAAATATAATATTCCTTCACTTACTTGTAAATGCACCTGTGTGTCACGTTTGTCTTTTACCTTTTCACTAAAAGTGAGATGAGGAGGGAAGGGGTGAAGGTATTGCAGACATAGTGTGTTGCTAGAGGAGACTGGGTCTGCTGCTTGAGGCCTTGTGAGCTGCAGGGGCACCCCCATGGGCAGGTGTGGCAGGTGAATGCACACTGAGTCCTGAAGGGGCTGGCCTTCCAAGCTCCTTGGGGGCCTACAAACCTGCCTGGAGGCAGGCTGTCCTTGGGCCTTTTGTGTGAATTATGAACAAGGGCCTTGGGTGTTGAGTGTCCCTGCTGCTGCAGCGGAATGGGTGCAGGCTTTGGTGTTTGCTAGGATTCGCTGGAAAACTGGTGACCAAAGGGAGAATCTGGCCCAAGGTCATATGTGTCTATCCTGCTTTACTTAAAAAATTGAGTTGCTACTCGGGAGGCTGAGGCAGGAGAATGGTGTAAACCCGGGAGGGGGATTCTTGCCGTGAGTGAGATCCGGGCCACTGCACTCAGCTGGGTGACAGAGTGAGCTGGTGGTCTCAAAAAAAAAAAATTGAGTTGTTGCCTAAATTTTGTGTTATTCACCCTACAATCCTGATTTTTTTTTTTTTTTGAGACAGAGGTCTTGCTTGTCGCCCAGGCTGGATCAGTGGCCACGTTCAGGTTCACTGGCAAGCTCCGTCTCCTGAGGTTATTTGCCTTCTCCTGCCTCGCTCTGATGGCTGGGATTTAACAGGCCCACCTTCGCCTGTGGCTAGTTTTTTGTATTTTTTTAGTAGGACGGTTTCACCGTGTTAGGCCCAGGAGGCTGGTCCTGTATCTCATGCCTTGTGATCCCCCCCGTCTCGGCCTCCAAAGTGCTGGGGATTACCAGGCTTGAGGCACCCGCCCGGGCCTTCATTTTTTGTTTTTTTCATTTTTATTTTTTGGACGGGAAGTTCGCTCTGCCCCCCAGGCTGGAGTGCAGTGGCGCATCATCTCGGCTCACTGCGATCCACCTCCTGGGTTCACCATTCCCTGCCCAGCTCCCGAAGGGTAGCTGTGGACTACAGAGCCCGCCACCACAACTGGGTAAATTTTTGTATTTTTAGTAGGACGGGTCTACCGTGTTAGGCCGGATGGTTTTATCTCTACCTTCGATGATTGCGCTTCGCCTCCCAAAGTGCTGGGGATTACAATTCGCGGGCCGGCCCTGATTTGTTTTTATTCTGAGTTTTTTGGTTGTTGGGTTGGTGGTTTTTTTTTTTTTTTGCGAAGGAGTCATCACTCTTGTCAACCCGGCTGGAGTGTAGTTGGTGCGATCTCGGCTCACTGCAGCTCCGGCCTTCCGGATTCACCGGCCCTTTACTGCCTCAGCCTCCCGAGTAGCTGGGACTAAGGGCGCCGGCCAACACGCCCGGCTAATTTTTTTGTATTTTTTTTTGGTAGAGATGGGGTTTGACCATGTTAGCCAGGATGGTCTCGATCTCCTGACCTCGTGATCCACCCACCTCAGCCTCCCAAAGTGCCGGGATTACAGGCGTGAGCCACCACGCCTGGCTTAAAGCAATATTTTAAAAACCAAAAGCTGGTAAAATGGAAGGATACTTTCTCTAGGAAACTGTATGTGCTCCTGCAGCCAGGATTCTGCATGGAATGAAGGCCTGGCAGGGCCTGACTGATTTTCATCTCACCTCGTCATCCTGAGTTCCTCTGCACAGTTGTAGCTTGACGTCAGCAGAGACACACCTCCTCACACCTCCTCTTCCTGTCCGTTGGCTCTAAAATGGTGGGCAAAGGTCGGGTACCAGTCAGCTCTTTGCACAGAATTCCTGTTATTTTAATAAGCTAAACATGCAGTCATCAGGTGTTAACCCCTATTGGGTCTTGGACATCAGCTTTTTTTCCCTTTTTTTTTGAGGTAGGGTCTTGTTTTCTTGCCCAGGTTGGAGTGCAGTGGCGCAATCATGGCTCATTCCAGCCTTGACCTACTGGCCTCAAGTGACCCTCCTGCCTCAGCCTCCCTAATACCTGGGACTACAGCCGTGTGCCACCATGCCTGTCTAACTTTAAAGAAAAATTTGCAGAGACAGGGTTATACTGTGTTGTCAGGGCTGGTCTCGAACTCCTGAGCTCCAGTAATTCTCCCACCTCAGCCTCCTGAAGTGCTGGAATTACAGGTGTGAGCCACACACCTGGCTAAAATTTGTATTCTTTATGCATGTATAGGTAAACTAAGTCATATGTGTAGAAGAGAGCCTTTGTGTTTCTGTTGTATACTAAGTGAGAAATCAAATTTCTTAAGCCATTTTGTCAGTTATGTATATAAAAACCATTGGTGCTGTAAGAAGCAGATATTTCATTAACTTTTTCTCTGATTATATCATTGTACATCATCAGTCTAAAAACGAGTTTTCTCATATGTTGTAAAATAGTTCATGATATTTGAGTTTAACATGCCTTTAATCCAGATGTAGATGTTAAAATAGGAGTAATTTTGTGTTCAGAATAATGATCTTCTGAAAAGTGAAATTCCGGCAGAGTTCACTGTTTAAAGCTAGGAGCTGGTGGTCGTGTGGTGGAATAATGTCCCAGGCCAGGGCGCTCCCCTCTCAGATGGTTGGTCATGCTGTGTCCGGAAATCAGGAATCCTCAAGGAACCTTTATGTTGTAGTTGTACCAGTGCTTTGAACATAATTAAAGGCATATTTGTTTTATTTTACCCATCTATAAATTGTGAGAGGTTTGGCTATCGGGAGTCTAGTGAGCTTATTGAACAACATAAGATGATAAATGTGTGCGTGCGTGGGTGTGTGAGGGGGAGGGAGAAATAATTGTGCTTTCCAACATATAATAAATTGCTTACTTTGATCGCTAACTGTTAGGTAAATGCAGTCTTTTTTCTTTTTTTTTTTTGGAGACAGGTCTTCCCTCTGGCACCCAGGCTGGAGTGCAGTGGCCCAATCACAGCTTACTTCAGCCTTGACCTTGCTGGCTCAGGTGATCCTCCCACCTCGGCCTCCCAAAGTGCTGGGATTACAGGCATAAGCCACCATGCCCAGCCGATATAAGACATATTTTTAACCAACTTTAAGATCTTAGGTTTTTTTCAGGATGGTTATAAGTGAAGGTAGAATTACAGGAAGACTGGTAAATATTCAGGATTCAGCTATGTTCCCTTACAATTTGTTAAGTGCATGATGGAAAAATAGTTGAACTGATGCAACAGCTGTCTCAGTTCTGGAAGTTAACTCAGAAATGGCAGAAAGCAGGGTCAGGCGTGGTGGCTCTCAGCACTTTGGGAGGCCAAGGTGGGAGGATGGCTGGAGCCCAGGATTTTAAGACCACCCTGGGCAACATAGTGAAACTCTGTCTCTATGAAAAATATAAAAATTAGCTGGGCTTGACAGTGCATACCTGTAGTCTCAGTTACTCAGGAGGCTGAGTTGAGAGGATCACCTGAGCCCAGGAATTTGAGGCTACAGTGAGCTATGGTGGCACCACTACGCGCCAGCCTGGGTGGCAGAACAAGGTCTTGTCTCAAAAAAAAAAAAAAAAAAATTGTAAAAATAAAGCAGTGGTAGAAAGCAGAATTTGACCTTTCAGTTACAGATGAGGAACAAAATGAGGAGAGGCCATTTTTTGTAAAAGAACCATCCAGCCGGACGCATTGGCTCACGCCTGTAATCCCAGCTCTTTGGGAGGCCAAGGTGGGCAGATCACCTGGGATCAGGAGTTTGAGACCAGCCTGGCCAACATGGTGAAACCCTGTCTCTACTAAAAGTACAAAAATTAGCCGGGCCTCGTGGCAGGCGCCTATAATCCCAGGTACTCAGGAGGCTGAGGCAGGAGAATCATTTGAACCCAGGAGGCGGAGGTTGCACTGAGCCGAGATCACACCATTGCACTCCAGCCTGGGGGACAAGAACGAGACTTCATCTCAAAAAAAAAAAAAACAAAAAAACCATCCAAAAATTGCTCAGAGGTCAAGAATTTCAGAAGTAAATACGAAAACTTTGGCTGAAGATTTAACTAGTGCTATAGAACGCTTAAGAAGTGTAGTTCTAGCACTTTTCCAACTCATATTTGTATCAAATACCAGGAAAAATAGTTACCATCATTTATCATCTAGATTCCTGGCCCGTCTTTACTGTTTTGTCATTTTGTTTCACAAGTAGTTTACAGAAGTAAAAATAAAGCAATAATTTAAAACAACTTCATTAGAAATTTGCTCCAACCTCTTTGCATCAACTAAGTTTTGGCACGCAAACAGAAGTGTCTTCTTAAGGAAGTGGATGGTCCAGGTTCCTTTGAAGTGGGATCATTCAAGTGAGTGGACAGCTGATTGAGACCACTGTGTCGCCTTTTCGTCCCTCACTTCCTCTTGATTCTGAGAAGACTGATCCTAGGGTATTGTCAAATGAAGACTTGTGTGAAATTTTATTTTCACGTCAGTTTTGCCGTCATTGGCTATGAGTACGCTCTCTTTGCATTCATCTTGTGACTCATCTGATGATCTTGAAAAGCCAACACTGTGATTTTTCTTTGCTACTTTGGGAGGAAATGGAAATGTTCTCAGTGAATCATCTTGTTGAGAGCAGGCTAGTCTGGGCACTGTGGCTCATTCCCAGCATTTTGGGGTGGTGAGGTGGGAGGATTGCTTGAGCCCAGGAGTTTGAGGCCAGCCTTGGAACATAATGAACATAGAGACCCTGTCTCTACAAAAAAATAAAAAATAAGCTGGGCACAGTGTCACACGCCTGTAGTTCTGGCTACGCAGGTGACTGAGGCAGGAGGATCGCTTGAGCCCAGAAGGTCAAGGTTGCAGTGAACTGTGATTGCACCACTGCACGCCAGCCTGGGTGACAGAGCGAGACCTCGTTTCAAAAAATTAATTAAATTTTTTTTGAAAGTAGAGTTCATGGCTGGGCACAGTGGCTTGCTGCTGTAATCCCAGCACTTTGGGAGGCCGAGGTGGGCAGATCACAAGGTCAAGAGATCGAGACCATCCTGGCCAACATGGTGAAACCCCGTCTCTACTAAAAATACAAAAATTAGCTGGGCCTGGTGGCACGCGCCTGTAGTCCCAGCTACTCAGGAGGCTGAGGCAGGAGAATCGCTTGAACCTGGGAGTTGGAGGTTGCAGTAAACCGAGATCGTGCCACTGTACTCCAGTCTGGCAACAGAGTGAGCCTCCGTCTCAAAAAAAAAATAATAATATTCTATAAAAATATATTATAGGCCGGGCGTGGTGGCTCACACCTGTAATCCCAGCACTTTGGGAGGCCGAGGCGGGCGGATCACGAGGTAAGGAGATCGAGACCATCTTGGCTAAGATGGTGAAACCCCGTCTCTACTAAAAATACAAAAAATTAGCCGGGCGTGGTGATGGACACCTGTAGTCCCAGCTACTCGGGAGGCTGAGGCAGGAGAATGGTGTTAGCTCGGGAGGCGGAGCTTACAGTAAGCCAAGATCACACCGCTGCACTCCAGCCTGGGCGACAGAGCGAGACTCCGTCTCAAAAAAATAAATAAATAAAAATTTAGAACTTGAGAATTGTTAATGCGGAAGGTTCACTTTCTGAACAGATGGAAATGAGCTCTCCTTGTTAAATGAAGTCAGCATAGGCCTGCAAGTAGAGGAGCTGGGAAAGGCCTGAGGCTGCAGCCCTGGACCTTGCTTTAAATGCTTCTTTCTGGCCCTCCCCTTAGCTGGAGGACCGAGATGGAGAGAAGAGAGAGGACTTGGAACAACTGCAGCAGAAGCAAGTCAGTGACCACCCTCCAGAACAGCGTGGGATCTTCACAGTCAGTGACCCCCATCAAGAACAGCGTGGGATGTTCACAGTCAGTGACCACCATCCAGAACAGCGTGGGATCTTCACAGTCAGTGACCCCCATCCAGAACAGCGTGGGATGTTCACAGTCAGTGACCACCGTCCAGAACAGTGTGAGATCTTCACAGTCAGTGACCACCGTCCAGAACAGTGTGAGATCTTCACAGTCAGTGACCACCGTCCAGAACAGTGTGGGATCTTCACAGTCAGTGACCACCATCCAGAACAGCGTGGGATGTTCACAGTCAGTGACCACCATCCAGAACAGCGTGGGATGTTCACAGTCAGTGACCACCGTCCAGAACAGCCTGGGATCTTCACAGTCAGTGACCACCGTCCAGAACAGCGTGGGATGTTCACAGTCAGTGACCACCATCCAGAACAGCGTGGGATGTTCACAGTCAGTGACCCCCATCCAGAACAGCGTGAGGTCATCACAAAGGTATTCTTCAAGTTCTCTGTTTTAAGGTGTGTTCTTTGTCAAAGGATTTCTGTATGTTGTAGAAATCCGAACCAGTGGGAGGACCTTCCATCCCTGCAGGGCCTCTCTTTAAAAGTAGAAACTGAAAACAGAGAGCTGGAGGCAGAGGCTTACCCTGTAGGCCCCACGTGCTGCTGCCTGCACATTCTTAGTGTTGCCTATGGATGGAAAGCCTCTCTTCAGACCTCAAATCTGCCTTCCTTATGATCTTCCTTTTTTGTTTTTCCCGTGGGACATTGAAGAGAAGCCACCCTTCATAAGTTTGAGGAATTTCACGTATTGCCTTTATTCTAGTTGCCCTTGTCGGTGGACTCACCTGGCCGTTCAGCATTTTTCTTAGGCCTGGCACCTCAGGTTTCACATCAGTCACGTGACTGGAAGTCCCATGCCAGTTGAGAGCCTGGCAGGGCAGGGAGGCTGTGCCCGTTGGGAACCTGGCAGGGCAGGGAGGCTGTGCCCGTTGAGAGCCTGGCAGGGCAGGGAGGCTGTGCCCGTTGGGAACCTGGCAGGGCAGGGAGGCTGTGGTCAGTCTACATGTCCCTGGTTTCTGCCACGTGCCTGGTGGGATGAATTCCATACATGTTGAGTTGATTACCTTTATTTTATTGACGTGTTTTTTGTTAGCATTTGGAAGAAAACATTAAGTTTGGAATTGACTAATTTTAAAGTGTTATGTTAAAAGCCTATATTTTAGGCTGGACATGGTGGCTCATGCCTGTAATCCTAGCACTTTGGGACGCCAAAGTAGGTGGATCATGAGGTCAGGAATTTGAGACCAGCCTGGCCAATATGGTGAAACCCCGTCTCTACTAAAAATACAAAAATTAGGGTGTCACTGCACTCTAGCCCAGGAGACAGACCGAGATTCTGTCTCGAAAAAACAAAACAAAAAACAGAAAGCCTATATTTTAGCCATTTGATTCTAGCTAAACTCAGTTCACACTGTTTTAGGCAGGTTTGGTTGTTTTTTGCTTTTTGGTTTTTTTTTTTTTTTGAGACAGAGTCTTGCTCTGTTGCCCAGGCTAGAGTGCAGTGGTGCGATCTTGGCTCACTGTAACCTCCACCTCCTGGGTTCAAGCAATTCTCCTGCCTCAGCCTCCCGAGTAGCTGTGACTATAAGGACCCACCACCACGCCTAGCTAATTTTTGTATTTTTAGTAGAGACAGGGTTTCCCCACGTTGGCCAGGCTGGTCCTGACCTCAAGTGATCCGCTCGTCTCAGCCTCCTGAAGTGTTGGGATTACAGGCGTAAGCCACTGCACCTGGCCGGCAAATTTGTTTGTTTTTTGAGATGGAGTTCCGTTCTTCTTGCCCAGGCTGGAGTGCAGTGGCATGATCTCAGCTCACTGCAGCCTCCACCTCCCAGGTTCAAGCGATTCTTCTGCCTCAGCCTCCTGAGTAGCTGGGATTACAGGCGCCTGCCACCACACTGGCTAATTTTTACGTTTTTAGTAGAGAATGGGTTTCATCATGTTGGTCAGGCTGGTCTCGAACTCCTGACCTCAGGTGATCCTCCTGCCTTGGCCTCCCCAAGTGCTGGAATTACAGGCGTGAGCCACCATGCCGGCCAAGTTTGGTTTTTAATCTGCATTATTGCAGGAAAGATCTAACTCATAGGCAGGGCCTGGAAGAACAGTCTCTGGTGGATTCTATAAAACCCACTCTTCATTCATTTATTCACTTTTTGGGACCAGGTCTCATTCTGCCACCTGGGCTGGAGTGTGGTGGGGCCGTCACAGCTTAGTGTAGCCTCAACATTATTTTGATGCTTAAATTGTTGCCGCTCTGTCCATGGGAAGCCTCTTCAGGTGGCCCCTGTGTCATGTGTTTGAAGCACATTCTGGCTTTCTGACACTGCAGGTTGGTGCCGCAGGCTCATCGTGTGGGCCCTGTCTCCGTTCTGAGTCCGCTGTTTCTCCAAGGAGTCTTGGTGCCTTTTACTGGATGGTGGTGTTGAGACCAAGACCTGGGCACTCGGTGTGCTCACTGCTACTGGGATGTTGCTGCTGCTTCTGGTCTCTCTCCGTGGATGGAGTGCGAAAGGGTGTGCCTGGGAGCTAGTCTGTGTGTACGCTCATAGCTGTATTTATGTTCATCTGTATTTATAGACGCATATATTAAAATAAATAGGAGTACACACTGATACCTCAGAGCCTAATCCAGCACCACAGGGTTCACTCTGCCCTCCCCCCTGGTTTATCTGCAGTTTCCTTCTCAGACAGTGAGAAGCCTGGCTCTCACTTCTGCCATTTATTTACTTAAAAAATAAATAAATAAATAAATTGGAAGGGTTTTTTTTTTTTTTGATGGTTTTGCTCTGTTGCCCAGGCTGGAGTGCAGTGGCGGGAGCTTGGCTTGCTGCAGCCTCTGCCTTCCAGGCTCAAGTGATTCTCCTCCCTCAGCCTCCCTAGTAGCAGCGATTACAAGCACCACCACCATGCCTGGCTAATTTTTGCATTTTTTAGTGGAGATAGGTTTTCACCATATTGGTCAGGCTGGTCTCTAACTCCTGACCTCAGGTGGTGGTGTCACAAGAACGGGGAGGTGAGCCATCCCAACCCCCTGAGTAGCAGTACAATTGTGCGCAGGCGCAACATCGCCCGATCCGAAAACCAATACCTAACCTGGCCACGCCCTCCGCGTGAATCATGTCCGCCTCTGGCCAACCCTCCCCTCCAAAGGATATAAGACATCCTTAACGCCAATTAAACAGACTTGACAGAGCAACTGTCTTGCTCCATGCTCCTCGTGGGGTCTGTTCCCGCAATCCCACTGCCCCTCCCCAGGGCCTGCCTTCGAGGATCGCCGGCGGGCCCCGGGATACAGACCAGTGGTTACCGAACAGAGCGGAAGGAGGGGACAGCTGTTAAAGAACACCAGGCCCTCGTGGGGGCTGGGGGTGTACAGGAGAGTAACTGGTGGTGGATACACTACACAATGAATGCCATCACCAAAGATGCACTTAAAAGCATCAATCAGGTGGAGGTGGCCTCACACCTGTAATCTCAGCACTTTGAGGCCAAGGGCAGCGAGGCATCACTTGAGCCGCAAGAGTTAAAGGACAACTCCTGTCAACAAGTAGACCGTCCTACAAAGAAAAAAGAACCAACAAACTTACCCAGATGTGTGACGTGCCCTGTAGTCCAGCTACTCGGGAGCTGAGGTGGAGGATGCCACAGCCCAGGATTACAGGCGTGGAAACGAGATTGTACCGCTAAACCACTCCGAGCCTGGGCAACAAGCAAGAATGCTCAAAAAAAAAAACAGAAACAGGCCGCGTGCACTCGGTCACGCCTCGAATCAAGCACTTTGGAGGCCGAGGAGGGCATCATCGAGGTCAGCGCGTCAAACCCAGCCTGACCAACATGGGAAACCCGGTCTCGACTAAAAACACAAAATTACTGCATGGGGCACCCTTAAGCACAGCTACTCGAGGTCTAGCACGCAAAACCTTTTTTGAATCCGGCCGAAGAGGCAGGGTGCGTGACCGAGATCCGGACCATCGCACTCCAGTCAGGCAACAAGAGCGAAACTTCCCCTCAAAAAACAAACAAAACAAAACAACAAATAGCAATTTAAAAATTGACAAGCATGGTGGGCCCAGGATAGGAAGTAGCCAGTGACCGATGAACTGAACACATACCACCCATGAAGACCCTCAACAACCTTAGTGAGGCTGGGAAAGAGACGTGACCGAGTCACCTCGGAAAAACCATTTTTGACTGGAACTGAAAATGGAGACCAAAGGAATGTAAACCGAAACACAACTCCACTGTACGCTAAATTTTTTTTCCTTATAGATGTGGTGCCAAATTCTGAAACTATTATACACTACAAGAGTTAGCAACTAAGTAAAATAAAGGGCGGTTGCGTGGGGTGCCCACACTGTAATTCCACACTTGGAGGTTGAGGCGGAGAT